GTGTCAACTTACCATTCGCTGCCTAATTGATAATTAATTATAGAACGCGCATCATCCATTTACTAACAGACACTAGCAGGCACGCAGCTCATGCACTAGCTACCTCGCTACGGCTATAGCTCGGAGGAACAGCCCTAACCCTAGGTCGAGTTTCCCACGCGGTACTTCGCAATGAGCTTTTCAATCGGAAACAAATGCCTTTGTAGACGTCGACAGTAGCACTGAAGAGATCACCCCCAGGCAGTTCGAGGTGATGACTGCGCGAATACACTTCTACACGTTCTGTTACGCATAACAGACGATCTAAGAGCCATTTAACCAGCAGGTATCCGCGGCGAGAGAACTGCGAAATTTATGGTGATCGTGTTCTCTGCCACCTCTCTTGGCGTGGCCCATTTCTTACTGCCGAGTCCCTTTGTGTACTCTGTGCAAACAAATTGGGAAGAGCGAATGCTTCAAAAAGTGGCTGACAACCTAATGGAAAGACATATATCACCTCGAAATCAATTCCCACCGAAATGACATTTAAGCCAATCAAAACACCATGTTGCTGTAACAATGTGTTTTTCGATAGACACTATAGACAAGCACAATCTGCCAACGGCTTTAAAATTTATCGACATTCTGACTAGAATCGTATGAAGGTTCCTCTTGCTATTAATCTCAGCGTTCACTCCCACGAGCCTCTCCCTTTATTTATTTTCCCTCCATTATTAGATTCCTGATTCCATTACATTTCGACAAAGCACCGTTTTTTTCGCACCAAAGAATGTTTTATGGGTGCTAATAAATTGCATCAACCCGAGTGAAATCTCCACAGTCTCAAACTCAAGCTAATACAGATTTTTCGCGGGCACCTTGCTGGACTTCACACGTAGAACTGAACGTAAACATTATTGCTGTCATTATTCTGCCCCTTTCAGATTCCTCACATTTACGGCGATGAAAATTGATTCTGCGTTGTTTCACCCATGCACTGCATGGCCTCTCCCTCCCACACTGCCCCATCGGTTGTGGCAACTATACCGTGAACGAAGACTTACGAGTTCGTTAAGACGGTCGCTTATACGGCAGAAGAACAAACACTGACGAGCTTTTTTTCACTTTTACAGTTTACAGCTCGAGGCTAGAAAAATGTAACCAGTTTTTCTACCGCGATATATAGCACAAAACGTGCAATTTAATGCGACGTTGCGTGAGCGCTCTTGGCCAAGTATTGTATTGGTTCGTATATCGGCGGCAAGTAAACACAGAGCAGCGTCTGAGTCTGGTCAGTTTATCGTACATTAAACGTAATTTCTTTCATTAATGCTCATCCATGTCCAACACTATTTATGGAGTGTAACGCGACAAAGCACGGAGGTCTGCATAGCAACTTATCCCTTTATCCCTGTCAATGGCTTCCCATATAAATCCAACTACTCTCCATCAAATACTCCTCCGCAATTCGGATGTGGAGACTACTAAGTGGAAAGCATACAGAACCCTCCCGATCACATTGATCAGGCAGTGCAGTGCTGGTGCTGCTGCTGGTGCGTGCGCGCGCAATCGAACACTGACGGAATAACCACAGTGATGCATGGCCCGGTGCGAGGTGGTGGCCCGCTCCATCTGTCCCGATTCTGCCATCGCATGCACACGATCTCGAGATTCTCCTAATCTCCTTATACAAGAAACTCCTATAAATACAAGATTCTCCTATAAGAAACAACGTGACGGTCTAAGCGTAGAAGCCCCCCGTAACTAGCTCTCTCGGGTCTAATCGCTTAAACAACGTCGGTTCTTCGACGAAGCCCGTACCTCGTTACCATGCACACAAAACCTAGCTAGCTCCGTGAGCAGGTTGCCGTAACAGTCGGTACGCCACCGCCGTACTCAGCCAACAGACACGTGGTGGCGACCGATAGCAGCGGGAAACTACTTTGAAGCCGCCGATCGGTGTTAATAATGCATACTACTAGCATCTCCATCAACAACGCACGCGACGACAGTGCGCCACTCCCGGTACCTTTGAGGCGTTACTTTAATCTTTCATAAGTGAATATACATATATGCATGCAGAACCACTTCAATATGAGGAAGGTGCAATTATTTACCTATACACTGGTAACGAATATACGAGGAGTGGCGTAGAACGTAAAAATGCCTCTTTGCACGAAACTGCTCTTTGAAGATAGACATATAAATATAAATAAATAAATAAATGAATAACTTTTACTAAAATTTGTTGTAGATGGCGTGGAGATATACGTGATCGGCGTTGGGGACGTGAGGATGAGCGAGATGCGTTGCATTGCCTCCGAGCCCTTTAGAGATCACTTCACGTATGGCGAGAACTACGGAGATGTGGCTGGCTACCTTGGACAAGCATTCAGCAACACAGGCAGTAGTAACACCCGCAACAGCAACACCGGCAGCAGCAACACCCGCAACAGCAACACCGGCAACAGCAACACCCGCAACAGCAACACCGGCAGCAGCAACACCCGCAACAGCAACACCGGCAACAGCAACACCC